ACAGAAAAAATGAATGCATGCTTTATATGTATCGAGTTCATTAGAAGGGGGCCGATGTAAAAATCGCAGGTTTTTCTCTAAATGTAGAAACAGCTTTCTTGATTTAATTCAACCAAATTTTTTTAAGTGATTGACCAAGATAGTAGTTAGCAGAGCTTACTTTGTATAATAGGGGTGTGCGATAGACTTACCTCCACGCGAAGCACCCTGGGCAGCGTATACTCATACGGCAAAAAGTCTATAAACCAGCAGTTGACTTCTAATTTCAAATTACCATCACCCCACTGTATGACTACTTCCACAATACTCACCTCACCATTTTTCTACCTTTTCTACCTTCGTCTTTGAAACACTTTTCTGTTCCCCCCCCCTATCGACTTTCTTTCACTTTGATGTTCCTCCTCCACTCTGTGAAGCCTGAAGTGAACTAAAGGGCTAACGATAACCAACAAAACGCCTGCCATTTCATATAAATAAACTTTGTATGATAAATTTCACTACTCACAATCTTTTCACCATTTGAACTTTCCTCTACTTCTTTGGTGTAAATATTCGTGGGATATTTCATATCACATTGGCAATCCACTTAATTCCTTAACTTTGCTACAATACAGCGTAAATTATGGCAGACAAATCTAATCCAATTTTTGCTTATTCACCTCAGTTAGGTGCTGTAAATCACTATAGGTTGAAATATATTGACGTGCACAGTGGCTGGGTCAGAGACTGGGTCAGAATTTACCTTCCAATCGGGTAGGCTTTGAATCTCTCGCTAGTTTCATTTAAATGCAAATGGACACAACAATTGTGACATTCTAGACTAGGAAATTAACTATGTAGCTACTCAATTTTTAAACATGAAGCCTCATACCTCGAAATCGACGACACAATGGGCATTCATCCCTACGGAATTATTAAAACATTCCTGGCCAATTTTCCCATTTCAATACTTTAATAGAAGCAACAATTAAACCCTTTAGGGTAGATATATAATAATATCATGCTCACCAGCAAGTGAAATTCACCTCATCTCCACCTAGATGAAGTGCATTGTCGGGAAATACATTAGTAATTTCTGCCAGAAGTGATCCAACGAAATTATAAGTTACATTTTTTATAGGATTAAGAACTCCCATTGCATCAGGTTGTGCCCAGCTTGGCGAACATTGTGTCATTATGGAGCTGTAGCCATATCCCCAAGAGGTCGTATGTCCTGTGTAATAAACAAAGATCTCACTCAAACACCACTTACTATTTTAAGTAGTACCAATTGCAACAACAACGTACCCGGAGAATCAACTTCTGGCATTACTCGAATGCCTAGAGATCTAGCGTATTCTATGATGATTCGAACATCCTGCTGAGTGTATATGGCGCGATAAGGAGAATACGACCCCTTAAAGGATGCATGCAAGGATTAAAGTGTTCATACAAAAGAGTATTGATTTTATATTTACTCCTAATATTTTTTTCATGTTGCAAGGACATTAAAGATAGAGTCAGAAAAGTACTCACCCAAGTTTAAATAGGCATGAAGCCATACCTTAGGGCAGTGCATGAAATATTCGGTGAAAATAAAGATGCGCAACTTAAACCAAAATTCATTTTGTAATTAAAGCAGGTGGGGGAGGGGGGGGGGCACATGTATTTTTCCTTGAGGTTCAATTTTAATCTTAATCCATTTAATATGATTGACCAGTGTATGACCTGAGTGACTGATGCAATGACCCATAGTCAGGCGTTGGCATAGTGTAACCAGTGTAGCCGTCTGTTTATAATCATGAGCGCATGATGTATTTGCTTAATATTGTAAAATTTCTTTTATGAGCTATTCCTTTTAATGGTCAGTTGTTATTAACTCTTCTGCTCAGCCTATCAGCAATATGACGATTTTGAATAGTCTTTTCAGTATCATGACACTAACTTAAGATACTTAGTGTAGGGTTGGAAATTGAATACGAATCATCACATTTCCCAAAACAACAAAATTATATTGCATTTAAAATGCTTGCAATGTCAATTGCTTTTCTAGGTTTTGAAGGTAATAATAAATAGTTGCAAACGATTCACCACATAATTGGCAGCCACGCACTTAGCGTAAATAACACACAACGCTGTTCTAATGGCCGGTTTGCTAAGATAAAGGTCACGGGATAGACTTTCAACCAACGTACACCATGTGATGTGAATAATCAAGTGCACAGCTTAACTTTGTTCATTGAGAGGGCAAAGGTAGGTGAATTTTTCATGGCGTGATTCATGGATGCCTTCTCTCTACCCCCACGGCAAATTGACCTCAAAGGGTTGGAAAATTTGTAATTTTTAGTGACCTTTCCAATACCTTATAACGTAACGTAAGATTACTTGTGTCAACAGCTTTAATTATGTCAGTAAAATATAAACTTGTCAAGTCCTCATATTTCAGAATGTAACTTCAAAATAGGGCATTAGATGGTATACTGGTCCGTTTTCGAGGAACTATTCAGTTCGTAGAGGAATAGACTTTTGGAGTGCACAAGCCTAACACAGTTAAACTGAGCTAACATCATAGTTGCTTGAGCATATAGGAATGTGCGCCGTGATGTTAATAGCGTTAGAAAGCAAATGATTTCCCGGGTACAGAGACCTTTATACCAATCAATGATCAATATGAATTGCAGGGTTAACCTACCCAAACCCATATATATATACTGTCTAAGCACTATGATTTATATCAAATGGCAGGCTTTATGATAATTATCATTAGTCCTTTAGTTAATTTCAGGCTTCACAGAGGAAGAGAAACATCAAATCGAAAAAAGTCTAGGGGGGGGGGG